GGATATTTTTTCCTTGATTTTTAGAGAGAGTGAAAGAGAGAGGGAAAGACAGAGAGAAATATCGATGTGAGAGAAGCACATGGATTGGTTGCCTCCCGCACAGGAGCCTGCAACCAAGGTATGTGCCCTTGACCAGAATCTAAACCGTGACCCCTCAGTCCACAGGCTGACACTCTATCCACTGAGCCAAACCAGTTAGGTCCTCACCTATTTTAATTTTTAAACTTTTCCTAGGAAAGAGATATATGATTATATTTGTCTTATCAAGGAAGAAATTTTGGTAGAGACCACATGATAAGTGAAAGTAGTAAAGGAAGAACCCAAATATGTTTAGCTCCAGTTTCCTCAGCTTTAACCATGTTATTGTAATGACCATATAATGCTCCTGATTCATCAATGTGCTTGGCCCATTATGGGTTCTTAGGCAGTAAAGGTTCCCATTCTCCCCCAAATTTCACAACAGGGAAAGGTTATTTTCCATCTAATATCAAGCATGGGATGAAGAAGAAATGGGTATGAGGCAAGAAGACAGAAGGGTTGCGTTTCAGGCTGCAGCATTGAAATTATATTCCTCATCTGTAATGACACCGCTCACAGCTCCAAGATGTTTTCGAGGCGGTGTTCCAGGTGATTAGTGAGGAGAAAGCACAGTGAGTTCTACCAGGAGCCTTTAAAACTCCACCTGGCTGTTCAAGGAGATCCTATTATCCTAACCTCAGTCATATTCTTCCCTGCATAGTAATGAGCTTTCCCCCAGGTGAAGCATGGCTTATAATCACCCATAACCTTGCAGAGCTGCCTTGATCCAATGGGCAGGGCCCTGGGGAAAAGTACCTTTCTGCCCTTTATCCAGGAATCAGCAACCTGCTAGCTAAGTCCCTATATTGTAAGTAAATTTGAAGATACTACTCTAGCAACCCTCAAAATAGCCTGAGTGGGAGTAGGTATTTTCTTTATTCTCCCAGTTCAGAAACTTAGGCTTCAAGATGGGAAATCAATTGTCCTCAGTCTAAGACTGACTACCTGGTGGGACCAGGAATAACCTGGTATATATTTGGCTCAAAGTTTATGACTTTTTCTACTGTTCTTCTCTGCTGAAGTGACCAACTGTGCCCTTCCACCTTCCTGTGTGCATTCACGAGTTCTACCTACAATGATAGCCATGAGTATAAAAGGCAATGATATCCTATTGGTTGGGTCTACCCAACTGCTCCCATCTCTTCCACTAGATAATGACATAGATCACAGATGTGTTTTTGGAAGGAGGCATAAGCCAGCCTGCTGGAGAAGAACTAGATCTAGAAAAAAATGAAGGTAAGATTTCAGTAACATCCCCAAATTTTCTAGGCCCTCAAGATCCCATTTTATTTAGTCAAGTATTGGTATAGACTCCAGTTGGAGGATGATAGGAGAAACAGAAATAGAAAAAGTTATTTCATTGACTACAATTTCAAAGTCTAGTAGAGGAGAAGACATACAAGCAGACATATAGAACATGATGTGACATGATGACAATTCTGGATAGGTCATGATTGTAGAGAACAAGAGGTGGTGGTAGTTCTGTTTTGGGAGAAGCATGTGATTTTCAGTGTTCTCTAGAAGAGGATAAAGAGTTAAGGCAGGCAGGCTTAAGCAGAGAGAGAAGCATATGTACAGAAACTTATTATCCAGAAGCAATCCAGTGAGTTCAAATCAAATATGAATAAGTGTGTAGTATGGAGTGTAGGATGTTCTGTGGGAGAGTGAGAGGAGATGAAACTGGAAATGTAATCTAGGATATGAACATGAAGAACAACGAAGTCTGTACTGAAATACTGGCTAGGATGCTTTCAACCTTAGGAAGGAGGCCTTCAATCATTCCTTAGGCCAGTGGTTTGGCAATGATGCCAGAGGTGAGTTTGATGAATAGCTTTGCATCAGAAAAGTGACCGGCTATCAGTGTGGAGGATGGATGTGTATGTGTGTGAGGGGAAGGCAGAGTGATCAATGGAAGGCTACGGCAATAATGCCAGGGCAAGTCGTAAGAGCTGAATCTTTACATAGCGGTGGAGATGAAGTGATGGCACATATTGGAGGTGGTAGATGCACATGGACCTATTAGTAACTGGATGTTACTAATTAGTAATCAAGTGAAGAAGGAAAAGGATTTTGTGATGGCACTCGTGGACTTGTCCTTGGTAATGGAGATAATCCTTCCAGCAATGTTTTCTCCCAATGTTTTTAGTGTTTTCTCTGCATTATATCTTTGGTCCCTGATGAGGTCAAAAGTGAATTGATCCCACAAGGCGTAAGCTAAGCTCATATTTTTAGAATCAGAAGGATACCAGTGTGACACGGG